GCCATTTTGTGCTTTCCTGCTTTTTGCGTTTGCTTGCATGCTGAAGACCACTGAGAACTGCGACACTGTCGGTCCTGTGGGACCTTGCGAGGACCTGCGAAACTGGTGGGACCTGTGGGACCTACGGCACACGAGGAGCTTGCAACACCTGTGGGACCTGGGGGACCCCTGAGGACCTGTGGGACCCGTGGGACCTGCAAGACCTGTGGGAATGGTGGGACCCGCAACACATGTGGGACCTGCGGGACCCTTGCGGGCGTGTCGGAACTGCGACACCACGTGGAACTGGGGTTGTCTGTGGTCCGTCGGAACCCTGTGTGGACGCCTGAGAGCCAGCCGAAGCAACGCGTGAATGCGGCAGGCATTTGAAGGTGGCAGAAGCGAAAAGTGTCGGGAAATGTACGAGCTTAGCGTAGTCTTGGGGCCCGTAACAGCGTAGTCTTGGGGCCCGTAACAAAATGGCAGCCGTGGATGTAAAGAATTAGCGCGAAACCCATCCATAACATTGAATTCCGCCATTCAAAGATATGGAACGCAAGCTCGGCATGAACAGCCCCAGGTTGAAAAAAATGTTTCCGTGTTTCGCGTTTATTGTTTACATTTTCGCGGGCAGCTGCCGATTTTGCCCTACCTGGAACTCGCGGCGTTTGAATGGCGAAATCCAATGTTATGAATACGTTTCGCGCTAATTGTTTACATCCACGGCCTTTTCAGCAACGCTAACTTAGTATCCCTTATGCGCTACTTACGTGATATTGAATAACCGAATAGTAGCCAGCGTGGCCCCCGAATGCCGATGTCTTGCAATCCACGCGGTGCAATCTAGGCGGTGCAACGCATGCTATGCAACCTAGGTGGCGCGAGCCACCGGCGCAGTTTCATTGCAACGCACAGCGACGCCCAGCAACGCTAAGAAATGCAAAGCAACCAAACCATAAACATCAAAATGGTCTAGAGCTGGTTCGGGACCACCCAAAATGTGGCCTGGGCATGTGTTCTGGGAACTACGAAGAGAACACAAAGTGGCCTAATGTTGGCCGTCGGGACTCACGATGTTTTTTTTTTTTTTTTTTTTCTGGCCTGGGAATGGTGTTATGGCAAGTGCATCGTGATTAAGACAAGAGTTTCACACTTTCCAAAGTTAGGTTTTTTGCGTCTAGCTCTGGCTAGGACGAAAGAACATGAAAGGCCACGAAGTGCGATAGGTTGCAAACCTTCAACGTTCATGAATTGCCTTTTGGAGCTCTGGTGCACGACTTACCACAAAAACGACGCCGTTCGTAACGTTGAAATTTCTTGACTAAAGAATATTTGAATATTCTTATTTAAGCATTTCCAACGTTACGAACGGCGCCGTTTTGTGCGGAAGTCTTGCACCAGAGCTCAAAAACGGCATTCGTAACGTTGGAAAGTTGCAACCCTATCGCACTTCGTGGCTTTCATGTTCGTTTCGTCCTAGCCAGGCTAGGGCACAAAAAATCATAACGTTGGAAAGTGTGAAACTTTTGCCCGGAATCACGATGCATCTTGCCAGAACACCACTCCCAGGCCACATCGTGAGTGCCCGGAGCCAACAGTAGGCCATTTTGTGCTCTTCGCGTTCCCAGAACACCACTCCCAGGCCACATCTTGGGTGCAGTGAGAAGCTCTAGGCCTTTTGTGCTTTGTTGCGTTGCTTTTGCATTGCTGAGACCCATGAGACCTGGACAACTGTCGGTTCCTGTGGGATCCTGCGAAGACCTGCGAAAATATGTAAGGCTCTGGGACCTACGCACCCGAGGGTTTGCAACACCTGTGGGGACCTGGGGGACCCCTGGTGCCTGTGGGACCCGGGGACTGCAAAAACCTGTTGGGGGACCGGTCGGGCACCGCAAGGCTTTCAGCTGAACTGCGGAAACAACTGGGATCAGGGACTACCTCAGAACAGTGGGGTCCGCTTGACAATCCCTTGTCGACCTGCTCGTGGGACGCCTGGGAGCCAACCGAAGCAACGCGTGAATGCGACAGGCATTTGAGGGTGGCAGAAGCGAAGTGTGTCGGAAAACGTGCGAGGTTAGCGTAGTCTTGGGGCCCGTAACAGCGTAGTCTTGGGGCCCGTAACAAAATGGCAGGGCCATCCAGCAACGCTAACTTAGTATCCCTTATGCGCTACTTACGTGATATTGAATAAACGAATAGTAGCCAGCGTGGCCCCTGAACGCCGATGTCTCGCAATCCACGCAGTGCAATCTAGGCGGTGCAACGCATGATATGCAATCTAGGTAGCGCGAGCCACGCGGTGCACTTCATGCAATGCACAGCAACGCCAAGCAACGCTAAGCAGTGCAAAGCAACGCAAAGCAAAGCACAACATGAGCTAGAGTTGGCTCCGGGCACCCAAGATGTAGCCTGGGAGTGGTGTTCTGGGAACACGAAGAGCACAAAGTGGCCTACAGTTGCCTCCGGGCACTCACGATGTGGCCCGGGAGTGGTGTTCTGGCAAGATGCATCGTGATTCCGGACAAGAGTTTCGCACTGTCCAACGTTATGATTTGTTGTGTCCTAGCCTGCCTAGGACGAAACGAACATGAAAGCCACGAAATGCGATAGGGTTAGAACTTTCCAACGTTATGAATGCCTTTTTGGAGCTCTGGTGCAGGACTTCCTTACAAAAACGACGCCGTTCGTAACGTTGAAGTTTCTTGAATAAAAAATGTTTGCATATTCTGATTTAAGCATTGCCAACGTTACGAACGGCGTCGTTTTTTTGTGGGGAAAGTCCTGCCACCAGAGCCAAAAAGGCATTCGTAAGGTTGGAAAGTTGCAAACCACTATTGCACTTCGATCGCTTCATGTTCGTTTCGTCTAGCCAGGCTAGGACAACAAAAAATCTGACACGTGGAAAGGTAAAACTTTTGACCCGGAAATCACGATGATCTTGACAAGAAACACCACTCCAGGCCCACAAGGAGCTGCCCGGAGCCAACAGTAGGGCAATTTTGTGCTCTTCGCGTTCCCCGAACACCACTCCCAGGCAACATCTTGGAGTGCCCGGCGCAGCTACTAGGCATTTTGGATTGCTTGCTTTGCGTTGCTTGCATTGCTGAACCCCTGGGACTGCGACAACCCTGTCGGACCTGTGGGGACCGCGAGACCTGCGAAACTGGTGGGACCTGTGTGACCTACGACACCCGAGGAGCTTGCAACACCTGTGGGACCTGGGGGACCCCTGTGGCGTGTGGGACCCGTGGGACCTGCAAAACCTGTGGGACCGGTGGGACCCGCAACACATGTGGGACCTGCGGAAACACTGGGGCTTGTCGGACCTGCGACACCCGTGGGACCTGGGGGTCGTCTGTGGTCCGTGGAACCCTGTGGGACGCCTGAGAGCCAGCCGAAGCAACGCGTGAATGCGGCAGGCATTTGAAGGTAGCAGAAGCGAAAAGTGTCGGGAAATGTACGAGCTTAGCGTAGTCTTGGGGCCCGTAACAGCGTAGTCTTGGAGCCCGTAACAAAATGGCAGCCGTGGAGGTAAACAATTAACGCGAAACCCATCCGTAACATTGAATTCCGCCATTCAAAGATATGGAACGCAAGCTAGGCATGAACGGCCCCAGGTTGAAAAAAATGTTTCCGCGTTTCGCGCTTATTGTTTACATTTTCGCGGGCAGCTGCCGATCTTGCCCCACCTGGAATTCGCGGCCTTTGAATGGCGAAATCCAATGTTATGAATAAATTTCGCGTTTATTGTTTACATCCACGGTAGTACGATTACCACTACCACCACTACGACTACTACTACTACTGCTACTACTACGAAGACGACGACGAGGGCGACGACGACTACTACGACTACTACTACGGCTACTACCAGTGCTTGTACAACTACTGCTACAACCATCGCTACTATTATTGCTGTTCGTAAGACCGCGATTGCGATCACCCCTACAATTGGAATTACTATTGCAGCAACGACTACGATTACGACCGCGACTGTTACTATTATTCGTACTTCGGCCACTACTACTTGTATTAATACTACTACTACTACTACTACTACTACTACTACTACTACTACTACTACTACTACTACTACTACTACTACTACTACTACGACTACTACGACTATTACGACTACTACGACTACTACGACTACTACGACTTACTACGACTACTACGACTACTACGACTACTACGACTACTACTACTACTACTACTACTACTACTACAACTACTACTACTACTACTGCGCGCTGCTGCTGCTGTGCTACTACTACTACTACTACTGCTGTGCTGCTGCTGTCTGTCTGCCTGCTACTACTGCTACTACTACTACTACTACTACTACTACTACGACTACGACTACTACTACGACTACTACTACTACTACTACTACTAGTACTAATACTACTACTACTACTACTACTACTACTACTACTACTACTACTACTACTACTACTACTACTACGAGTACTACTACTACTACTACTACTACTACGACGACGACGACGACGACGACGACGACGACGACGACGACGACGACGACGACGACGACGACGACGACGACGACTACTACTACTAAAACTACGACGGCGACGCCGACGACGACTACTACTACAACCACCACTGCTAACACTAGTACTCCTAAACGGCTTCTGCGGCTACTCTTATTACTGCACTACTAGTACCACTCCTGCTTCTACGGGTGCCACTTCCATTACCACGACTACTGCTACTACTACTGCGACCACTTTTACCACCAGAGCAGGAGACCCTGGAGGCCTCCGACGATACTGCACCTGGCGATGGCGATGGCGATGGCGCTGCTGACCCAGGTAGTGGGGATCTGCACGAGGGTGTCCCTGGCAGTGCAGGGTCAGGGGGGGTGTCTGTCCCCGTCCCTGACGAGCTTGTCGACAGTCTCATGGAGGACGCCCCAGAAGGCGAGAGCGTCGAACAGCGGCGCAAGCGCTTCAGCGACATCATCGAGGCCCAGCTCAAGCGGCCTCGGGTTTGATAACATGTGGCTCTACACTGTCAACGCGAACGCCGGGAAGGGCTACCGGGACTTCCTCGACTGGCTGGACAGCCAGCACAGCCTCGCGGAGGCTGGGTCGAAGAGGCTGCCAGTCGCAGATGTCACCTTCGTGCAGGAGACGCGCGTGCGTGCATGTGGCAGGGGGGAAGTCCAGCGTTGGCATCGGAAGCGCGGCTTCGACTTCGACCTTGCCGCAGGACTCAGCACGGGAGACGGGCCCCAGGCCGTCTCAGGCGGGGTAGGCATCGGTGTGCGGCAGCGGTTCGCGGCAGCCACGCTCGACACCGCTTTCAGGCAGCCCCACCGCGTGCTGCGACGGGTAGTCAACATCGGCGACGGGCTCGCCATCGATCTCATGTCCATCTACCTCCGTGACGGGGAGGGCATGAGCGAGGCCAACGCAGACATCCTCTGGGAAGTTGCGTCGCAGCTCAGGGTGGCGGTGCGGCCGTGGATCCTGGCTGGCGACTTCAACATGGACCCCCATCCAGGTCGCGGCGTGGGCGGCGACGGCTGGAGGGCTCGTGCTGCATACAGGGGCGGCGACCTGCAGGGCGGGGGCGCTCAACGAGCTCGGCTACGCTGTCATCTCCGACGAGCTTCAGCAGTTCGTGTTCAGCCACGGGCCCGTGGTTGAGGCCCCCTTCGGGCCACGCAGCCCCGTCTTGCTGGAGGCACGAGGGCTGCGCGCAGAAGCCGCGGTGCAGCAGCTTCATCGCGCGGCGCGGCTGCCGTTCGATCGGGCCATCGGCTGTCTGCCCTGCGCCCCCTTGCCTGCCTGGACTTGGGAGGAGGGCGCGGCCCCCCCCAGCCCGCGGGCCGCCATGCAGGAGTGGCTACGGCACGCTGAGGGCTACCTTCTCCCACTCTACGACTTGCGCGGGGACGAGGCTCAGAAGTTCGCTGGCAGGGGCGACGGAGTGCGCTTCGTCAATGTGCCGCTCGCGGACGCCAGCCGCCGCCGCTGGGCTCAGCTCAGCTCGCACGAGACCCACGCCTGGGGCGGGCTGGTCAGCCTGCTGCAGCGCGCAGACCCTCTGCTGGCGCGTGGGAAGGACCTACAGGGCCTGGCCAGCCTGCGCGCCCGCCTGGCAGCGCTGCGCCTGGGCGACTACGACGGCACCATGGCCCCTGTGCCCAGGGGAGAGCTGGGCGCTGCGGCGACCTCCAGCGACGCGGCTTTGAGGAGGTGGCCCATCGAGCACGCTAGGGCCCAGCAGCAGGCCTGCCAGCGCAGCGACGCAGCTGCCGCCAGGAGGCAGTGGCAGGCCTGGGCCAAAGGCTCGGCTACAGGCGGGGGGAAGCTCGCCCGCCGCTTCTCCAAGCCTGAGCCGCTGGCCCCGGCGACTCTCGTCACGGCGGACGAGGGCGATGGGGAGGCGCTACGAGCCAACGGCGACGAGGCGGCGCGGCATTGCCTCAAGGAGTGGCTTCCGCTCTGGCTGGACCCTCGGCGCAGAGGAGTCCTCGAGGAAGCGGGTAGCTGGGGGGCGCCAGAGCCGCTGCCGAGTCTCGAGGTGGACAGCCTCAGGTACCTGCTCAAGCGGTACGGGAGGTGGGCAGGCCTGGGATGGGACCAGCTCCACCCGAGGCAGCTGCTCCTCCTCGACGAGTCCTTCCTGGCCAGGCTCCTCGACGTGCTGGCCGGCTGGGAGGACGGGCCCGAGGCCTGCTTGGACTGGCTCGCCGTCATCGTCTCTCGTGCCAAGGCGGGCGGTGGCAGGAGGCCCATCGCTCTCACCTGCCTTCAGCTTCGCCTCTGGTCGGCCCTGCGAGGGCCCACCGTCAGGGCATGGGATGCGCATCACCACGAGGCATGGTGCATCGGCGGGGAGCTGAACACGTGTGAGAGGGCAGGCTGGGTGCATCAGACCCTCACGGCCCTGGCCTACGAGAAAGGCCTCAGCACGGGCACGGTCCTAGGGGACCTACGGAAGTTCTACGATAACATCAGCCACAAGGAGCTCTTGGTGGAGGCGCAGGCCACGGGCTTCCCTGTCAAGCTCGTCAGGGCATGCTGCGTCTCGTATTCAGACTACAGAGTCATCACGGTCGACGGGGCTTGCAGCTCGCCCTTTCGGGCGATTGGCACGGTGCTGGCAGGCTGCTCCTGCGCGACTGGGATAGCCAAGCTACTCCTCTTCCGATCATTCAAGAAGGTGGCGGCCTTCTACCCCAGCGTGCGGCTGGGCAGTGTAGTCGACGACTTCGCGCTCCAGACTGTGGGCACCACGGGCATGGTGAAGGCAGTTCTAGGCCCCGCCACACGCATGCTGCTGAGCTGCTTCGATGAGAAGCGGGCGCCCGTCCACTTCGGGAAACTCTGCTACCTCACGCCCGACGCAGAGGTGGCGAAGCAGCTGGAGTCGGAGTGGCCCGCCGAGGACGGCAGGGCGCAGCGCGGCAGGCTGCTAGGCAACGACGTGCACGATGGGCGCTGGAGGCGCACCGCCATCGGGGCACAGCGGGTCGAGGATGCCCTT